CCTGTATTGAGGAATTTATTTTGAGAAACATTACTGTATAGCAATAATAATAAAACACTGTTTATAAAACAACTTACATTACAAACAGTGCTCAAATAAGCCAATAATAAAACCACTAATAGTGAACCACAGGCAAGGAACCCTGAGATGTGAAGGCAGCAATCACATAGCACCAAGCATGGCTGTGCTAAGAAAAAAGGAAGAAATGTTGATTTACAACCAGCCTCTGAGGTGCAGATAATCATTAATAACCAGGGCTTATGGATAAACATCAGCAGCCTGGGCTTCTTAACCCCATCCAAGCAGAGAGAGTAGACCATCAGATTTTACAAATCCACATAGCTCCATGTACCTTATAAATAAGCATAAGCATCTGAATTCCATTTTAAAAACCACACTTAGAAAAATCCCTTCCTAAACCAAACATGCAGGGAATATAATACAATAAAGCCATGTGAGGTTCTTTTGTTCTAAAATGAACCCATAAACAAGATTCCTTTAACTTTGTTCCAACTAGCAATTCTTGGTTCTCTGTACAACTTCCCTCATGTTTTGGGGTTTGGTGGGTTTGGGTTTTTTGGAGGAGGGGTGTCCTTTTTAATGTCATAGGCCTAATGTTCTACAATGTTTTAATGAAGGACACAAATTTGCTTGCTGTCAAGTAAGACTAAACCTATATAAAATTAACAGCAAGGCTCTTCACAAGAACAGTTTTACAGTGTGACTGGTAACTGTGCATCAATGCAGCAAAAGCCTTAGAACAGATATTCCTCTCAAAAATTAGGGGGTTTTTCCCCCTCAGGAATTTTGAGGTATTGCATTAATGTAAGTGATTTTAATGTCTTAAAATGCCACAAAGAAAAGATTCCAATATTTAAGCTCAGACAAACAGAGTCAAAGCAATCTTTGACTAACACAGTGGCTTATACCCCACACTCAAGATATTTTTTTCTTACACAAGAACAATATGAGGAAAAATTAACGTGGAAATACTTGACAGTTGATGAAAAACATCTTTGAAACAAAATTGCAGTGTATTGCCTGATTCAAAATTCCAGTAACAAAGCAACTGCTTTTCATCATAATACACTGGGGTACAGGCAATAACAGACATTTAATATTCCAAAACAATCCTATCATTCTACAAAAGGGATGGTTTTCTTAATAACATTACATCCAAAAGGCAAGAAAAGATACATTAACTGAGAGAAGAAGACAACAATGTAGTCTGACAATAAACTTTGGGCTCCTTATGGAGGATTAGCTCCCAAACAATAATCAATACCCCAGAGAATCCAGTCCAGTCCTTGGACTAACGCAAGCTGCTGCAGCCTCTGGTCTCCAGGATGGATCTGTGATCACCCTGTGGCTGTCTGATGCAGCACCAAGCAAACAGGAGCTCTAATGCTCAGCTGAGCATTGCAGCTGATCAGAATTGCTCAGAAGGAGGATGAGCAAGACAGGATCACCATTTCCACAGTATTTGCAGGATAGATCTGCCTGAAGCCAGAGAATAAAAAGACTGAAATCTCCAGGGCTGCAGCATCTCACAAGCCAGAAGCACTGAGCAGTGTTTGTCAGACAAGATGGAGAAGTTTCTCTCATCTGGCACACACAGAAAGAGCCTTCAGTTCAAATTAAGCCTACTGTCAGGGATGTGTGCTCTGCTAAACACATCAGTAATACGGGTCAATTAAGAGAAATTATTGGTGTTAGTAAAAAAAAAGTAATTCACATCTGCTTTCTTTATAGCAACATCTGTCACTCAGTAGTGGAGATATTTATTTTACCATATGAACAGCTGTGTTCAAAAATAAACCTGAGTTTTGCCCACCACAGCACACTATAGGTGGTTAGTGGCTGTACATGTTTTCAGCCAATCCCTAAATATTGCCACAGCATCTCACAACTATTTCACTTCTGTAACTTCACCTTTCCTGCCTCCATCCTATCCAGAACATCGTTATCACATATCAGCCTTTTCCACTGACAGCAAGTAAATTAAAAATTAATACTTACATGCTAAGAAATTACACCAAAAAATCATAAATCCATAAATCACTAATAAAAATAATTATGACATAATGCATCAATCCTAAACACAATCACTTATCCATTTTCTGGAGCCTTATGAAACCTTTATACAACTGAGCACTAGTCTGCTTGCCACTATTCTCACATGACTTGTACCCTGTGATCATTTAAGCAAATTAAACAAACTGGTTTATTGATTTTTCTAAGGAAAGATGCAGCTGGTCACACAACAGCAATATTTTGCTTTTCGTTTACTAACACATTAACTGTGACAGTAACAGCACAGCAAGCTGCTGCTGAAACTCCACCTGGGAGCTCTTAACATACCTCAAAATTTCTTTTGTTTCTGTAGATGAGGCGGAATTGCAGCTATCAAGATGGGAATCATCAAAGTCTAAACAGAATAAAGAATATAGTTGGGAAACTTATATTTTCTAACCTCTATTTCTCCTCTGGCTTTCCATTTATTCCATCACCTTGGAAGAATAAATTTCCCAGTAGCCAAGATTCTCCACCTGTAATTTGTGATGCTTTCTGATGTGTGAGTCTCTCAAGCTCCTATGTGAGTCTCTCACAAAATTGTGTTGTGCTATGTGCACCTGATTCCAAGTAGGAAAACATGTTCTTGCTCCCTAAATACAACTGAATAATGATGTTTAATACAGGTTTCAGACAAAGTATGAACTAATGTCTGTAAAGGTGAATGCATTTTAAAGACAGGAGCTTTCTCTTTGATTACATTTCCAAGACGGGAGGTGTAAGAAATAGCTTCTCTCTTTTCCCTTCTCCGGTTCTATTTATACAATTTTGTCTTAGTGGGTAAGTTCCCTTGGAGCTCTGCTTGCCCAGCCCAAGCATTGTGAGAGCCGAGGTTACTGAGTAACAGGAAATGTGGCCTCAGCTCTGCTGTGTCGGGGTTTATCTCCCCGCACGGGAGTGACTCCTTGCTCACCGACTGCTCATTAACTCAGAGTCACTGAAACCTTTGTCAAGAGTGCTTTGAATATTCCTTACATTCGTGCAGTTATTGATTTGCCTCTCTTTTAATAAACACCAAGGGCACAGCCAGATATCCTTGTGTACACCCACCCAAGGCAAATTCAAAAAGGTATAAACCCCCAGCAGTTTGCTCCTGGCCCTCAGCCAATAAATAATTTTAGTCCCCCCTCCACCGTGCCCCCAGCAGAGCCCAGGGTTATCAATAATGGGCCTATTCAAAGCACTTCAGTGGAAAGTACAGCAACAAAAACATGTTGCAACTGTTCGGCACTGCCTCGAGTGCACAAGTGATCCATTCTGGAAGGTAAAAAGTTAAGTTGATGACCAAAACCTTCCTGAATTTTTTCTGCAATTTCAGAAACAATCACTTCACTATACCTACATAGTTTGGTGAGCTCTCTGCACAGCCCTCAGTCCTAGAAAGAATAAGGCGACACTTGAAATTTGCATCTTTACTGAAAAGCCAACAGAAAAATAAAAGAATCACCTGATTTGCATGTAAAGACAATGCATTTTTTTTTCTTTACCTTTCTTAACTATAAGAATTTAATATCAACAGAATGAGCCTGGATTAGGCTACAGCTCACAGGGAAATGCTACATACTAAACACCTGCACTACACTGCCACTTTGCCCAAGGTTTTCTGTAACAGTTTGGAGGAAATACTGTAAATAAAAGGGAAAAAATAAACAACCTACCCAGTCCAACAAACTGCTCCATATGATAATCAAAAACAAAGGTTCTATGTGAATTACATTCTGAATAAAGCTCATTGGAAATCACATTTCACAGAGCCCCTAACATACTGAAGAACTGCTCGAGAGGACAGTATCTTCACAAAGAATGTGAACCTTCAACCTGAAAACTGAAATGTTGCTGAGCTACTGCTGCAACCCAAGACCCTCCATCCACTCTACCTCTAATCTCAAAGAAGTATTTGGAGCAGTAGTGCTAACCTTCAGATGAAAATGTAGAGCAAGTATCTTCTCCAGGTAATCCACAACTCTGATTTTGAAATTTAGACTGATACACATTTGTCTCATTTCACTTCTTTGAAGTGTTTTGGCAGTTTCCATGTGTTTTTCAGTGAGCCTTGTTGAAGTGCAACAAGTGGGAAGCCAAGAAAACAGAGTGCTGATGCACTGCTCACAAACTACCCTCTCAACCCACAAAACCCACTGCAGGTTACGGAAAGGTTACAAGAGAAATGCCCTTCCCCATGAGCTGCTGTAGGAAAACATGATGGTACTGACACATCCCAGCCAGACAGGCTGCACTAAAAAAAAAATCATGAGCCAGCCCTTCCTTGCTTATTTATATCTGAGGTTTTAAGAACACTATTCATCAACACAGTCACTGACTGATGCTGAGCCAGACCCAAAACATCCTTCATACTCCAAGTCTTGTCTTTTAACACCTCATGGTCATTGCAGAGCATCTGGAAAAATAATTTATTGCACGTACACAGTAACAGGAACATTCCAAAAGCCAGGACCCTTGGAAACCTAGAAATAACCTATTTTTAAGCAGGGATCTTCATGGTTTGACATGCCCTGCTTTGAGTGGAGCTTTTGTTGTATTAAGCAAAGGGTGTGGTGTGGTATTTATTCCACAGGCTTTTCCTTTTCTAGACCTCTAGCACTTCACACAGCGCACTGGGAAAAAATGCAATTGCAAAGGCTGGCCAGTGAGCGTAGGATTACTTCATGAAGAGGAAAAAAAAATCCACTGGATGGCCTCGCATACTTAGAAATGGCAGGGACAAACACTACTTTTCTGTTCTAAAATATCTCATTGCAGAGGAGAATCTGAACTTTAAAGTCACATGATGATGAAACCATAGGTTTGCTAAACATGCAACGTGTATGGTTTGAATGACTTCAGCAAAGTTCCTGTTTCCCCTACAGAACTGCATATTTTTCAGTCAGCAAGCGCCTGGATTCTTCACCGTGATGTACAGCAGCTGAAGAAGTTATTGTAATATACACACAGAAATAGAAAGGGCTATAAGCTCCAAACAATAGTTGTATTTCATCTGCCATTTCTCAGTGGAAGGCTCAGCCTACTGTTTCTGTGGAACAATTCCTTGAAAAGGTAAGTGATTTATATTACTTTGAATATGCAATGTTTTATTCAAGAGGCTCAAACAGCGAAGCTAAGGTTGTTAGCTTTAAATTAAAAGTTTTTAGTTTTCCCTTTTTTAGCAACATTTGAACTACACAAAGTAAAATACTGTATCTGGGAAAGGTCCTCAGAAAGCAGAAATGTATAATAAAGCTGAAATTTGTGATAAAGCTGGGCATTAAGCAGAGAAAATGTGAAGACTGTTTTCCAGTAAGTACTTCACTGCCGCTGAACCAATGGGAGGCGGATGATGAAACCCTGTTCAGTGGTGGGGACAAGCGACTCCAACCATTGCCTAAAACCAATCTTTTAAAGGATGGACATTGTCAGATAATCTTAACCCACTACAGGCATTGTATAGGACAGGAAACAGTTCAGGGATTATGTTTAAGTCACTGTTAGTTCCTTTATATTCTAGAAAAGTAAAAACAAAAGCTTTCGGTTTCTCAGGAACTGCTACTTTTCCACAAGGGTAGGATTTCGAATCTAAAGTCTTTACCACTTCAAATACTTAACCAAGTGTAGGAACTGAGCTCTTACAAGAAAGATGAACATAGTATTTCATATTTTAGTCTCACATACTGTAAGCTGCCCCCCATCTTTTAACTTGGCAGACACAGTGTGAACAGAAAGGACATCTTCTCTCCCCAGATCACGTGCTATCTCTAGTCACTGCAGGACATCCCTACCAACAGCAGACTTTCACAAGCAATGTTATGTGTATTGCTTTATGACTGGAGGAAATAATATTTTTCTTCTAAAGGCTGGTGACAGAGTGCAGAAAGACTGCCCTGCCAAACCTTTTATAGAGGAAGAGTTCTGGCTGCCAGGGAGAAACTCCCCTGGTTTAGGAGCTCTGCCTTCTAGACTTTAAATAAACACAAGTCTCCTTGAAACCTCCTCTTCTGCAAAAGTTAACATTACAGTGGGGATGGGAAACCCAAACCCAACGGAATCTTAGGGACTAGAGGAAAGCAATGAAAGTCCTTTCACAACTTGCTATTTTTAAACTGCTTTTTGAACACTGTGCTCACTGTGTTGGAAGTGAAGAGGAATGTATTCACTGTGCTTCAGAAAGTGAAAATCAAACATATTTGCTTTAACTGCTGAATTATAGGGAGGAAACAGGGATAGAAAGAGGGAAAAAAATCCAAGAAAAAAGTGAGGCCTCATGAAATTAAGAAGGGATCTGTGATGTGACTGATGGCAAATTAAAGTAAGGGGGACCTGAGATAAAGGGATAAAATACTGAAGCATGACAACACAAAGTTAAACCAAGCAGCATATTGCACATTTCCCCCAATAACTAATCATAAAACACACAGAAACAGATCTGGCTTCTGCCGTAGTTACCGTGACTAAATGGAAATAAAAGAAGTCAGTTTATGTCATAGTATGTTGTAAGAGAAAAAAAATAATTCAGGTCTTGAGGTGTTTGCACTGTAAGCTGACAGATTCCACTAAAAGAGTGGAGGACTTGTCTGCTGTTGTCACTCCCTCCACCCACACCACAGCAGAACATAAACATGACGTGCATTTGGAAAAAAAAAAAGAATGTCCCTGCAGTAAATCCAAGAACCAGACAAGAACTGAGGGAATACGAGATCTTTTCACAGCAGAGGAAAATGACAATAAATTCCCTATATTTTTTTTATGATGGAAACTCTAAGTATTTTGAAAAAAAAAAAATGTGGCCAGCTGCATGAATATTCTGAAATAAAACATCATGTGAGAAATAAGCCACCCTTTGCTGCTCCCATGCAACATATATTTTTATTTTAAATTAAATAAAATTAGTACAACCAATAGTCTGAAAAAATTCACAAACATGAATACTACTACAGCAGAAGTAGTGAGCTCCTTCATCCCACTGTTATTCTAAGCATGAACTTGATGCTTGGGAATGTTTTAAAAGTGGAAAGATAATTTCTAAGAGCTGCTTTACATGATAGATGAGCACCTCACAGTCACAGGAATCTCTAAAGCTATTCAGAGTGATGTAAACAAACAAACAAGCAAACAACAACAACAAAAAAAACACTAAAAAACCAGAGAGGTTGTGCCATCTGGGACCATTCCAAATCCATCAGCTGCAGGGGCTGCAGGGGAGTCAGGCTGTTCTGGTGGGGCCCAATTTATAACCCCAGCTTGAAAACCCTGATGCAGCCACTTCACGAGGTGGTGAACAACGCTTTTTGGAAAGTGCAATGTACCCTCAATTTTCACTGAAATAATTATGAAGAGATAAAATATTAAAAAGAAAAAAAAAATCAGATTGTCAGGAAGTCAGAAATGTACAGGTGGGGGTGACCCTTTCAGAGAGAATGCACATGTGTTTCAGCTTGTAGGAAGAACTGGCCATGTCCCCTGCACAGGAGCCTTTCCTACCACAACCTGAGCTCCAAATTGCCATTTGCTCTTTTTAATAGTAAAACACCAGAACCAAATATGAAAAGAGTCCCTGACATTATCACTGTGATTATTTTAAGCTTCTAGGAATAATTTAAGGAGGAAAGTTAATAACTACAGCATTGACTTTAATCTTATTTGCCAAACTAAAAATATTTCAGAATTGGCTACAAACTGCTAGGAGATATTTCTTCTTCTGTAATAAACACTTTATTGAATTCAAAGAAAAGATTTATACTCACACCGACTAGCCACAGCAAAGCTGCAAACAGCTTGCTCTTTTAGTAAAATTTTGTTTGTGTGGGAATCCCAAGGTGTTCCCTTTAAAACAGCACACCTAAAAATTTTTCCTTAGCTCAGAATTCTGATACTTAACACTGATTGTAATTACAAATATTTAGTTGCACTGTTATTTCCCCAAAGTGAGCACGTTAATTCTAGGCTGAAGAGATTCCTTTTGCTCAATTTAAACCCTTGCTCAGAAGAGGTAATTTAAAAGACATTCACTTAGATGAGGACAATAATATTTAGATGGAGAGGAAACATCAATTTTAGTTATTTAACAATAATATGCATGTCTGTGGTTGTAACTGAAACTGTTTCAGTCATCCTGACACCAAATGAGAGCACAACATCCTTAGCCTCTGTTTAACACTGCTGGGCTGCCAGTAACACACCACAGTGTGCAAGCAGGTACAGGAAGAGAAACCGAGATGCTGCACTTGCTTGCACAGTAAGCTGCAGTTACTGGAACATGCTGCACTAAGCTTTACTTTGTTTTAAATGCCCAAAGAGTATTTAAATACAATTAAAAATACATTGTTATGGTCATAATTGAACCCAGCATCAGTACCAAGGCCAGGTCCTGAGCAAATTTATTCAAGTTTTGGTATCCTTTTTATTCCCCCCCTGTAATTTGATATAAGGCCACATGATTTCCTGTGAAACCCCAAACTATGCCCTTTGCTTCCTTTGAAATGATGTTACCAGAAAAGCTGAATGTTGCTAAATTATGCTGAGATTCTCTGCAAGGACAGTGAGCACAGTTAGTTGGCCCACAGAAGTTGTTGAGAAGATAATGGAGATGCTCACAGAACTGAATTCTTCCATTCAGCCCTGCAAAAGGAATTTACAGGTAGCACTGGAGGCTCTGGTGGAACAGCTCTAAATGTAAATATTTCCTAACCTTGAATCTACAGAGTGGGATGATAAGAGACTTTCTCAGATGCTCAAGTGGTCACAATCCTTTACCAGATTAAGCTTCAAATCTCTCTCCTAACAAAAGATCAAATTTTGACTTAGAGTTTCCTTCATCCTTGAGACTCCTCCTAAATATTTAAGAAGAAATGACTTGCAGAAGTTAAAGTTTCACACACAAGAATTTTTCATATCTAATAAACTATTTTTAAGCTTCAAAACTATATTGCCTCTTAACTTGCTTCAGAGACCTTTGCCTGTTTTGCCCATCAGTTCTTTCCTACATGGTGCACCCCAGCTCAGAGGCTGGCACAGAGTCTGACCAGCCAACCTTGCCTCTGCAAAATCACCTGTAACACAAAACATCTTCCCTGGGTGTGTTAGTCCTTCCCACAGTGGAATCTCTCAGAAAATAACCTTTTCTACAAAAGAAGAAATTCTGTCTTTAAAAAGGGACAAAGAACGCTGCTGAATCAAAACATAACTCCACGCTTTTCTATAAATGAAATTATAATTATATAAGATTACATACACATTTAATCAAAGCCACTTTGATAAGTCAACTTTTCTAATTAAAACCAGTATTAGAATTCCAATTTTGAGGAGAGATTAGAAACATCAGAAATGTGAAGTAGTGTCAGAGGTAACAACCATAAATTAACTGTCAAACAGTATTAAGACACTGATTTATCTATAATGAGCACTGCTTAAAAACATTAATGCATCTCTATGAATTTTTACCAATTTAACATTACTTTCATTTTAAGAGTTAACATCACTAAAATCCCCTTATGGAAAAGGCATTATGTACAACTAAGTATGCAATTTCTTGTCACTGTGACTTATAAAAACTTCTGTAGGGAGAACTCCATGGTCCTGTCTTTGCCTGCTTGTTCAGAAGAGCTTTAGGTAAAACAGAACAAAGTAAAAACACCAAAGTCTAACACAAAATTGGAATCTTTGCAAATAAAAAAGATTTTTTCTCCCAAAGAACACTCTACACTGTAAAAATGCCTATTTGTTTAACTTTCTCCAGTGCTGAGGAACATCTTTAATCAGACGTTCCAAATTAATTAGGAACAGTGGGTTCATTATCTCATGTTTAAATATATTTAATCTTTGCAACTGAAAAAGGTATGTTATTTTCTGTATCAATCAGTACAAGCTGCACAGAAATTTCCTCTTAGAAGTTGAGCTAATTATGCTTTTAGGTGGTCTGGAAAATGCATATATCCATATCCATTACAGTTTTTCACAAGTACATACTATGTTCTCATAAAAGCTTTTTGGCTTAAAAGAAAAGGAGCCTCCAAGCGTTTATACAGTAACAAAATCATTGTATCAACATATCACAGAGTCATTACAGCTAACAGCCTGACCGTATTACTCTCAAAATTCCCTATTTCCAGGAATTTATAATGTAGCTGTAATAAATGGTCCTTGCTAAATGTTTATCAACAGCTTTATAATGCACCAGTAATCGTTTTCTCAAAGTTCAGCATGCAGAAAAGCATTATTTTTTGCTGTTTTATGCAACAGCTACATCTAAGAAATGACAGCGTTATTAATGTATAAAGATGTTTTGGTATAAAAGCAGTTTGTTCATAACAGTTCTTAAACATTCTCATTAATTTTGTACGGGCTCCTCAGCACAGACTGCAGCTATGAAAAGCTTTTTTTCAGAACAGAAAGGAAGCAAAACTAAAACAAAGAAAGGAATGTGGCTCATGCCTCATATTGTGATTATCTCTGCATTTTCCTCAGTATGTGGTGTGAGACTGCAGCTGGGTTCAAATGATACAAAATTCCCACCCTTGCGACAGTACAGAAGAGCTTTTTGTGGCTGGAGCTGCTGCCCACACACTGGATTGCCCTGCAAACCGCCTTGGCCTTTTTTGGCCCGATGGGGAGGAAAAGCAGCTCCACCTAAACAGAGCCAGCTCCTCCTCACCCGCTGAACAGCCAGTATTCCACATATTCCATGGGCAACATCAGCGTGCTGGATCCTGGCTGTCCACAAAGCTGAGCTGCATCAAGCGAGGAAAAGGGAGGAGTGGTAAGAGCAGAAACCATATCAAAAATAAAAAAGCAGATTTCTCTGGTTAAAAATAATTTCAAGCTAACTTGGGTTGTAACACAGGAGTGTAAAATCCACCAAGAAATTACTGCATTCATTCTGAACAAATGGTTCATACGCCTGACTGCACATAATATATTCAATGCAAAAATAGGCATTAAAGCTGTACTTTAAAACTTGTTTCATCTTCCTTTTCCAGTTCCGTTTCAAACACCGTTGAACAGGAAATAAGCACAGTGTGGAAAGAAGGATGACTTCTCACAACATGACGTGGATCAGCTACCCAAGCAAGAGCCAGCCTTTTGTTTCCCCAGAAGAAATCGAAGCTGTCATAGCTTCTCAAAACATCATATCCAGAGTTATGCACTGTTACATTGCCTTTTTTGTACCCACAGGATTAATAGCTGGCATATGTATTTTGATCATTTTCATAAAGAATTATTTTCAGAACAAAAGAGCAAGCTTGGACTTACTTCTTCTGTATTTCACCATCAGCAATATCATAATGATTTTTTTTTCCTTTACTGTCATCACTAGACCTGACTATTTAACAGCAACCCACCTTGCCTGTAGCGTACTGTCATTTTTTTTCAACTTTGGTTATTTCAATTCTCAGTATGCTTTCATTCTGACACTTCTCACACTATTACTGGAGAGATTTCCACCACAGACTGCTCTCTGCAAAGCCACCCAAAGACCCATCTTGTGTGTTGGGCTTGTACTCACATACACCTTCTGCTTGTCCCTGACGGAGGCAGTGCTGGTTGGCACTGATAATTATCACCTGGAAGCACACTGCCAGTTGGATCCATTATTTGCATGGCCCGAATATGAGATTGTTAAGTTCACCTTTGGGTTTGGAATCCCGTCATTGCTCCAAATCCTCTGTTTTACTGTTCTGTGGGCTAAAGAAGCACCTGCTGGAGCTCCAGCCTTGCAGCAGCACATGCGCGCTTACCCCGCCGTGTACGTGATCAGCGTGACGATGTTCATCTGCCGCCTGTTTTATAACGTCATGATTCTCTTCAGGACAGCACTGAAACTACAGAGGAGCATTGGAACGGCAAAGAACGAGCTTGTGATGAACACTGCAGAAATAGTGTTGTTCTGTGAGAGCTGCGCTAGCTTGGTAGTTATACTTTGTATTCATAAACCGTGCAGGGATGAAGTACTTCAAGTCATACAGAGGTGCAGAAGGAGAACCCGTGCCAGCAATCACCTTGAAATACCAGAAACAGCCCCGACCCATCAAAGGGGGTCACAGTAATACTAGCTCTTCTGAACAACTGTCAATCCACTTTGCTTTTTAGCTTGTGGGTTTTGGTTTGGTTTTTTACTTCTTCAAAAAAAGGGCAAGTGTTCCTTCTTTAGAACCCAAACTTGGCCTATCTTACAGCTAGCAGTACTGGAAGAAAAAAGATGGTCAGTTCTAGTACTTACAGTGAAATCTGTAAGAAAACTTCCAGGGTCTGGGGCTCTTTGGGGTTTTTTTTCATATATACATATATATTTAAATAATCTATTTTTCTGCAAGCCATTGCTTCCAAGTCAGGTAGAAAGATGAGTACTGTTGCCAAAGAACTGTGCTTCTGCAATAATATCAATGCCCTAGCAGAGCTGCAAACAAAAATGTGGCAGGAAGCAACTTTGAACAAAGGTCAAAATCTGTAGTCAGAGCATTTTCTCAGGTGTATTTCCTCCTTTGACTTCTTACCCTTCAAACTACTTATTTCTATAACACTGGTATATAACTGGTATATATAATTCTAGTGGCAGCAACAGTGAAGTTTTTGTCTGAATTCCTGCACCAAAAAAAAGAGAAAGAAATCAAATTAATGGTAACACGGGTCCATAAAGGAGCAGTGAAGTTTTTGTCTGAAAACTTCCAAAAAAAACTGTCCAAAAAAAAGAGAAAGAAATCAAATTAATGGTAACACGGGTCCATAAAGGAAAGCTTTGGGTCCTTTGTGAGGCACTGAACTGGAAAGATCAATAGGATGGCTAATTAAAACTTTGTGCAAGAATGAAAGCTTTTTGTTAATGTACTCTCAGCTTCTACTTTGCATTTAGACTTACAGCAACAATTGATTTAAGCCATTCCTGATGAGTTCATTCAGAAGCACGAAGGCATTGGAAGAGCCACATTTTCAGTAACACACTAACTGAAAAACAGAGAAAAGCCTGACCAGAACAGTAGAACTGAGGTGTATTTTTAAGAAGGCAAACAAAACGCAAGCCCCAGTTCCTAACTGGAATCAAGGCTCTGCTAGAGACAAGCATTGTACATTTAAATGAGAGTTGATGGGTAAATGGTGCAAAAAGAGCAAAACATCTGAATTAGAATAAAACAGCTGTGGTGCGGGATGAAGCCCTGCAGGATCAGTAGCTGATGCAGGCTGAGATGTAGGTGCAAAGCTATAAATGCCTGCTTTGAGCACACTATTACTGCCACCAAATCTGGCCAGAAGCCACCTTAGGCATTTGGCTTTGGCTTCATCATTTTTTACAAAGGTTGAGAGAACGGAAACAGGAAAAGCAGAGAATTGTACTAAAACTTGGATAATGACGTAGATTCAGATGGCAAAGTTACAAAAACACAGCACTGTGATGAGAAAGTAACTTGAAGAGTTCTGAGAAAAGTTATTTTGATGCTTAAATCTGTACCTTTGTATGAAATCCAGGTGCTAATGGAACTGAGAGGGGGTTTTTGCAGTTATATCCTTTGAAAGATCTTCCTGATGGGGCCTTCCAGATTTGTGTGGGGAGCTGGTGTAAATCAGCATGGGCTGCCTAAGAGGGAACAGCAGGAACTGACTGATCAAGATGAACCTCTTCCACAAGCCAACAGCCAAGTGCAGAAATGAAGAACAATAATCATGCAGAATACAGGTCAAGTATCTAGAGATATGGATCTAGTCTTGGACATCCAATCCTGACAGGTATGGACCAAGACTGTATCACATGCAAATAAAGGGCAATATGCAATCCCACTATGACTGTAAGGACCAACATTTCCACAAGCTGGTAAGATGTCTGCATTACATTGTGTCAGCCTGTTCCCCTGTTCAATTTTGTTCTGCTGCCAGCATGAACAGATGGATAATTAAAGAACTCTACATATAAACAGACCATTATAGAACATGGTCAGAAAGGAAGTAGGCAGATAAGAATCATCTCTTTGAACACAAGAGCCAATTTCATACTTGTGAAAGGAATTCTCAGATGGCATCAGAGGTTTTGTTTTGCACCTGAGAAGAGAGAGATCAAACAACACAGACCAAAGATCAGCCTTGCAGAAAGAAGTCTGAAGAGATGAGTTGTTAGGAGCTGTACATCAGTGAAAAAGCTGACAGACTGAGTGAAAGAATACGTCAGAAGATGCAAGCTGTTTATCCCAGCTCAGAAAGTCAGAGTTCCAGCTGCACTGTGGATGAGGAGGATATTTTGTAGTATGGGAATTATGTGCAAATGATTCTACTTTATTTACAGCTTCCATACATTTTATATTTAAGGATAAAAGAATAAATATTGTGCTGTTTCTGAGTTACTTTGAAAGGTGCCTAAAAGAAAATTGAGTTAGTAAAAGTTGGCTGGGACCTAGAAAGTGATGTGAGTGAATGCCAGTAACAAACCTGTGAGGATCCACGGGGTTGAGCAGGGCACAAAGGTGCTTCAGGGTACACAGCTAGAGCAGGGCCATACCCAAGTGTCACAGACAAAAAAACCTGTAGGGACCTACTGCCAGCTGTAGGATCAGAGAGCGAGCACACCTTGGCAGAATGAACAACTGTGTGTGAGTCTGTGAGCACTCCTGGGAAAGCTCCTGGCTGCCATCTGTGAGATGTGAGTATGTGTACTCTGATCTCCTCCCTGTCCACGTGGAAAAAATCTGAGTATTTTCTGGATGGCTGGTTATATTGCCATGAAGAAATCTCTCTACAATGAAAAGATTTTGCTACTGAATATGAGAAAACAAAGGTAAACAGAAGGGAAGAGGTTGAAAAATGCAAAACAGTAACTCAAATAGTTATGAATATAAATGTTAGCAATACAAAAATGTTTTCATAGAATTATTCTTGATAAAGTCAGAGCTTACATTAAAGTTTAGGGCAATGAACATGTGGTTCTAGAGAAAATCAACTTGCATCCAGCTAGAATATGAAAGCAAACACTCATATGTGCAACAGGGAAGGAACACAAGCAGTTTCCAAAAATCCTTCTAATACAGTCTAATATGTATTAATTATTTTAAAAATATTACTTCTAATCTTAGCTTTAGCTAAGATTAGAAGTAATATTTTTTAAATAATTAATAATCAAAAGTATATTTTTAAGAACAAAATAAAATCTCCCTGCTCTGAGATTTTTTCTCTTATGCAAGCAGCAGCTCAGTTGAACCCTCACTTCTCCCAGGCTTCACCCAGTTGTGAACAGAATGTTCCAGAAGAAATACAGCATATATTTTTATAGGCAGGCTGTCAAAATTAACTGAAGGGATATACTGGAAAGTTCAAAGGAGAATATTTTACTTCTGTCTTGGTAATATTTGTATCTTTCCACGACTTCAGTCTTCATTTGAAAAAAACACTTTGTTCAGTAGACGAAGAGAAATAACCAGGCTGCTGAAATTAAAGCTTGAATTTTTGAGTTGGTAACATGTTTTGGGAAAGAACTCAGGACTCATCATTACTGAACCAGCTGGCTCAAACTTGATCTGATCCCACTGCAAACAACATTTGAGCTAGAGACTGGATGCGCACACTTGAATCACAACTTGAGCTGCTACATCCTTACACGTATTTCTAAGCCTGCCCTTAGTTACATTCTAACATTAAACTTACAGACACTGAAATAGATGAATACACTGAAAAAACTGAATGCACCAGTATTATTTATCTTGATTTTGAGGTAGCTGCAGAAGATTTGGGGCATGGTGAAAACTCAAGCAATTCAGCCAAATTAAGTACTGTATAAAATGTGTTCACCATATATGTTGCACGACAGATAAATTCACTAATGGATAGAATGAAAGAATACATTTCACTTCCATGGTACAAAGTTTCCAGCAAAGGACTGCCAGACTCAGCCACTAAAATAAAAATCATTGATGTTTTGCAAGAATTTTTTAAAATAGCATTTGAATAGAGCCTGAAGTCCTGTGATGGGGCTTTGAGCACTCTGGTTTAGTGGAAGGTGTCCCTGCTCATGGCAGAGGGCTTGGATCTAGATGATCTTTAAGATCCCTTCCAACCCAAACCATTCTAGGATTCTGTGATCTTTCACTAGACAACATTTTGTGGCTCCATTTAGTGGAATTTTTAGATTATCCCTTAAGAGTTTTGCAATATATGCTTTAAGAAAAATAAAGAGGTTTTACCAGAATAGTTTGAATGGATTGAATGGGTGTTGTCCGTGCAAAAGGAAAAGGCTGAACTCTTAAAAATTATTTTTAGTAAGAAAAATGCATTCTCAGAATTACTGGCAACTGGAAAGCCCAAATACACAAAATACACTCCATCCAAGGTTTTCTGGAGGCAGAGGAACAATTAATGCCAGCTCAAACAAAGTTTGATTATTTGCAAGAACAATTATTTGCTACTGAGTCTGGACAGGATAAAGTGTGAGGGTGCTCTAGAGCAAGGTAATGGATGTGGATTTCATTCAGTGGTTGAAAAAGGTGAGAGAGGATTTGGACATCAGTCTACCTGGAAAACCTCATGAACAGTACCACAGCACCTGTATTTCCTCTAGAGATAGCTCCAGAAGAGATTATCTTCTGGAGAATCACAAATTTTATTTCTTCTGCAAATGGTTATATTACAGTGTAAACATTCCAATACAATTTTAATTTATGCTTCCTTCCCCCTCCATGCAATACAGTGCCTTACTTTTTCTTCAGCTTTCTATACCCTTACCCTGATCTAATTTCTCCAGGACTCAATAGCTTCATACCCAAAACACTTCCACACTTCTGACAGAATCCAAGAGTCTCTTGCATCTCAGAGGGCTTATCCAGCTGGAGAGGCTGCCACAGAGTGCTGGCACTAGAGCTGTGATGCTTCAGACCTCTCAGCATTGCTCTCTCCCATACTCACGCCTCCCACTTTCTTTCTCCTCAGCTGCCACCTTTTAGCAGCACAATAGCAGGCACATATGTTGAAGTCTGCTAAATTACACAGAATATCCTCTATTATACCCCAGATTCAGCTCCTTGGTGCACTGAAGTACATCACAACTGCATCAGGGCTTCTGAAAGTCTCTCTGGTGTTAGACGTGTTTACTGAGATATTTATAGAGCTTTACACATTGACTGCTACCTAAAAACAAACCAGGAATATTCCAAATGCTGGATTACTGAGGTCTGACATTACATAAATGCTACTGCACCAGTTGCCTTCACAGATTTTCTCAGCAACAATCACAGGAAGGTAAAACAGGTGGAGCTTAAGACTCAACACTGTCACAACTGTGACCATGGATCATTAAGGCAGTCACTGTAAAGTCCTGTGGAATACTGACAGGGAAAGAGCAAAAGTACAATGTTCAGCTGCTGCTAAAATTACTTTGAAGTATTTTATGGAATATGGAAATGACAAACAGTGAGATTTAGACAGGTTAATCAGTAACAATAATTTGACTGCATAAACAGGAGCCTGAAAATGCTGTGATCTGTTTTAGGAAACAGGATTCAGAGGATTTGCGCGATCATCTCATAATATATTTAGATAAATACAGAACCCATTAATTACAATATAATAATATACCAAATTACTACAACACTAAATATGACTTCTTATGCTTCACAGTTCTTCTAGCACGGAAGAGCTACTTCATGGGTCGTTTGAAAGAGAATTTCCTCACAACTTTGGAAGTATGGCAAAGTGACATATTTCTTACCGTGAATTCAAACAAGAAAATTATCATTCAGAATTATACATTTTAATAGTAAATCAGCTGATATTCACAGCTAGACAAACAAGGACAGACAGACCAGCTGATTATCAAATCCAGGCCCCCATAATAACAAACAACTGACACCCAGAAGTGAGCGTTACACATGAAGAAAAGTAAAAAATCCTTCAGGCCCTTGCAAGATCAGTGGAAGCTCTGAAGGACAGAATTAAATACAGCAAAACCACATGATCAACAATTAACAATAAAGACTCTTTTTAATCCTGTTCTTTTATGACAGCAAAAATTTAAGACCTTCAAAGCTGGTATCACAAGATTTTTCTAACATTTACAATATTCCAGTCCTACAATGCAATCATATTTGTATACGTCTCAAAGCAAAACACTTTAGGCTCTGTCCTCATCACCCTGTATTAAAACACTCCGTTCCACACACAGTGGAAACCTTCTGTTCAAAAAAAATTTACCAGCACCAATCTGCACAAACATTCTTTTGATCTAAATAACAACTGATTCCAAAACTATTTACCAAGAGCCATCATGCAAGAACTTTAAAAACTTTTTAAATAACGCTGCCAAAATCCTCTATTCCTAGGCACAATGTGTTGCACAAAAACCAGCAAATAATATTTGCCTCAATGAAGGCAAAGGGCTTCTGCTTCCAAAGCCACTCAGTGAAGAACCTCTACTTCACTTTCCTTCAGAGAGATCCTTTGTAACCTAAAGATATTTAACCACTGTAATTGGTGTCATACATCCATTATAATGACATGTTAATTGCTTACTCCATACTTCTGAAACTGTCACACTGTCTTCCTGAAGTCCTAAATGCTGAGATCCCATTCATCTCATTCCAGCAGCAGCAGAATGCTGCATCCGTGTACAGCAAAGCCACTCAGGGCACTGAATGTTCAGGTGTCAGATCAACATAACCACAAATAAAATACTGCCACAAATAAAATATTGCTCTTTCATGAGGAAGGTTTGACTTTCTTCCCATTCCAAGAATTCTGGCCACCAGTAGGTGGTGTTACTTGAAACGTCAAGTAGGTTTCTTTACCCCCTGCGGATGAAATGCAAAACTCCACCTGCAACACTGGTGTTTCATGCAAAACTGAGCCTCCTCATTCTCTGAAGGGTAAGCTGATTTCCTCCATGTGATTTTAAGCTGAGCAATTCTAAGAAGTAAGAGAATGACAACACATACCTGAAAATTTAAATACAAGCAGGCAAAATGGGATCGACTTGAAGGTAGGAAAACTGAAATTTATCTTCTCCGTTTAGCAAATGACCCTTCTCAGATGCTTGATGTCTTCAATCCAATATTTCCCTTTAGATTGCCCAGAGGCTTTTAAAATATAGCACAAATAACAGTAATAATTGCTTTATATCTATGTAAAATATGCTGCATTGCAATCTGCAAATAAATCTCTTAGTTATTGTTCAGCTGAGCTCTAGATTTGAACGGACTATAAAACTTAAAAAAACACCAGAGGCAGAAAGGAGGGCGCAATTAACATTAGGCAAAATAAAACTGACAAATATGAGAGAAAGATGTTTGAGTATTTCTAGTAAAAAAGAAACCAGCAGAAACAGGGTTAATTCTAGCCTTATAAGGCTGTTCAGCAGCACTTCAACTGCACACAAATTAGAACAACCCTGGGAATCTATAAAGCTTGTTTTATTGCCAAGGACATGCAGCAAGATCTGCATTTTGCTCTTGTAAACTCTCCTTTATTTAATAAGTTTTAAAGCAGAACAAGACTTTTATATGATTTTTGTTTCTACTGCTGAATCATCAACAGGTGGCACCCACTGCAGCTCTGCACACCTAAAAGCAAGTTTTTACCGAGAGGACAGTGGAAGTTGGCACATCCATTACGTGTGCATCCAGCAAGGAGCAGCCTGCTACTGTCTGCAGGAAAACCAGCTCGGGAGAAATGGAATTAAGGTAAAATTAAGTGTTTCACATACATAGTTTACCTGTAACGCTTTGAATTGCTTGGCTTTTGGCAGCCTTTCAGATGTAATTAAAATCTGACCACCTACGGACCTTTTAAAATCAATTGCTCAGGCTGTTAACTTATCTTTTCTTGTATTTAAATCTGTTTTACTGCCTTATTCACAAATAAAAGGCTGTTACATAAAGACAACCGTTTATGTCTGACTTCATAGCTGCTTGAAACAAACACTGAACCTTCTAATAAGTGTAACTTCATATGGACATTTTAGCATGAAGATTTACACTATTAAACTTATTCAAAACACAGCAACAGGTGCTGGGAACTAATACCTGTTTCATTAAGAAATTGAAGCTCTGGAACCTGTATCTTTATTTAAGTATCTGTAGCTATTTCTGATGACTTGAATACATTTAAGCAAACTAAGAGCTGTATTTCTGACTGAAACTATTCTAACACTCCTAACTCCACTAGACTGCACACTGGCAGAATTTAAGTCATTAAAATGTGGAAATATGCATTAATTTTACTAGCAACCAATTTTAAAAATATATTTTCATGTAAATAAAAATCAATGGTTGATAGCAAGACAAAGATTAAAGCAGTTAAAAATATTTAATACTTAGCACCAAAATATCCTGGTTTATAATTTTCTTGCTGTTTTATTTGTTTGGGGTGTCTTTTGTTTGGCTCTTTCTTTTTTTTAAATAAACTTCTAGCAATGCTTCAAGTGCGTAACATTCAACATTTAGAAGTAAACAAATCTGACAACTGGGTATTTTCCATTACTACCCGGAAGTCAGTGAAATATAATAAATCACAACAGAAAACAAATTGAGTATAATAATGTTGGTGTAAATCAATATGCTACTTATATTACCTTCATTTCTAAAATTTGCCTTTCCCTCCCACTGAAAGCAGCAGGAACCAACTGCTTTTCATCTCTGTTGCCTTCTCAGCCACAGACTCTGCTATTTATTAGTCTTACAAGATGACAAAATAAATATATATGCATATATATTTAAAAATACAGTTTTCCTTTATTAGGTTAAAGTCACTCATTTGATTTCTCTGTATTTCTTCATTTTTTAATACTGAACCCCTGAAGGGCACACACAATTTTAACAGACCTGCCCTCATAATGCATTTTGATCTAGGACAAATTTAAATTCTTTTTAGTGAACCTTTGCATTTATATTAGAACATGATGTTTCCCACAACCTCAGCTGTGATTTAAGTTAGCAGAAGCTAATGGCACATGGAGCAGTGCTGGAATATGAGATTAATCGTTTTCCATTTGCAAATTGCAGGTCCAAGGATGTTCATTGATTATTAAAAGAAAACAAATGGAGCTAAAATCCCACTGCCTTCCAACTTGCATGAAGGAACACTGCTGCTGAAAAGCTTTTATTAAAGAGACCCAAGTACCACCATGGTAAAAAGATTCCTACATGATCTTAAGGCATACAGGAACTGCAAATTCTCTCATTTAAAATGTATATAGTATCCTGTAAAACAAATTAAGACATTCACTATTTGTAGTATTATATTTCAGTCAGTTTTAAGTCTAATTAATCTGACTTTAAAGAATTTTAATTTCCTATACAAAAGTCTGTATCTTTTTCAATTCCAATCGAAAATGCTTACTAGGAATTCAGTTGAAACCAACCAAAAATCTGATTTTTTTGGTATTGCCACCAAACTGTGAGTACTAATATATTTTCTGCAGATATTTTAACCATGGAAACTTACTCTGCCTCAGTATCACCTGTTCTGTGTAACAGCACAGCTTTTAACCTGAATGGATCCCATTTGTGTAACGAAAGCATATCCTCTAGATTAGCTGATAAATCAGAACACCAGCAGTATGTTATTGGCCTTTTCTTATCATGTCTTTACACAATATTCCTTTTCCCTATTGGTTTTGTGGGAAACATTCTGATACTGGTTGTCAACATTAGCTTTCGGGAAAAAATGACAATCCCAGACCTTTACTTCATAAACCTGGCAATGGCTGATCTCATTCTAGTGGCTGATTCTCTCATTGAGGTGTTTAATCTTGACGAGAAATATTACGATATCACCATCATCTGTACCTTTATGTCTTTGTTCCTTCAGATCAACATGTATAGCAGCATTTTCTTTCTGACATGGATGAGTTTTGACAGATACCTAGCCCTGGCCAAAGTAATGAGGTCCAACCTCTTTCGCACTATGCAGCACGCTAGACTGAGCTGTGGGCTCATATGGATGGCATCCATTTCGGCAGCTCTAGTCCCATTTACAGCCGTGCACTTACAACACACCGGAGAGGTCTATTTCTGTTTTGCAGATGTAAAAGAAATCCAGTGGCTAGAGATAACCCTGGGGTTTATTATCCCCTTTGTGATCATCGGTCTTTGTTACTCATTAATTGTTCGAGTCCTTATAAAAGCACACAAGCACAGGAGTCTCCGGCTGCGGCGACAGAAGGCTCTGCGCATGATTTTTGTTGTTGTCCTGGTTTTCTTTATCTGCTGGCTCCCTGAAAACGTCTTCATTAGCGTCCAACTTCTCCAGAGGAAAAGCGAGCCCGTCTCTTCAAACAGCCCATCCTTCAGGCATGATTATCCTTTAACAGGACACATTGTGAACCTAGCAGCTTTTTCTAATAGCTGCTTGAACCCCTTAATTTACAGCTTTCTGGGGGAAACCTTCAGAGACAAACTGCGACTGTACATTGAACAGAAAACAAAAATGTCAACATTGCATCGCTTCTGTCAGGCTGCCTTAACGTCTGTCATTCCTGACAGTAATGAGCAATCAGAAGTCTGATTTAGTGTCATTGTATAAGACATGTGACTGTGAAGTTGTGCAAATAGTGAACAAAATGCTTGCTACTAACAGAAAAAAGTGCATTTGTGTGTGTATATATATATTGTATCACTCTATTGAGTATTGAAGGTTTATATTCTAAATGTTTTTATGACAAGACTTTAATGTAGAAGAATATGTTTTAGTCAGATTTATATTTAATTATGAACAAGATTATTAAAAGCTGAGCACTGAAGAAGCTTTATTTTGTATTATACATATATGAATGACAATATAAGAGAAAATTTTATCAACTTAGGAAGACTCTAGATGTAATCTGATTATCAGAGATGATACTTTGCTGGTGTATATAAGGTACTTCCACTGAAATAATGAAGCTGCTGTAACAGTGAGGAAAAATCATTACAACATATTGATGTGGAGATGCAGAAACCATTGATTTTTTTTTCACCCAAACATGTTAAGATGAATGACTTTGCTTACAAGAAATACATGGTACTATCGTCACTGTATTCTAGCATGTCTTCCATGATTAAGTTTTTAATCTTAATATAATCAAGCACAGTGATGAGTTTTTGTCTCCTAAATGTAATCTACTGTTTACATCAGTACTTGATCAAAACCAAAATCATCTGTAACTATGGTGCTCATCTCAAAGAACTTCACAGAAGCAAAATGTAGTGCTTCATTCTGTCTTTTAAGGATTGACCCTGATGATCTCTCTCAGAACAAACGTAATTGGCCTTTTTGTCAAAAATGCCAGTGCACCAGCATCGGGTACATTCACACCTCATTCACACCTGCCTTCAGATTTGAGTGCACATTGCACAAAATCTCTTCACATTCCAGAACACAATGCTGTGATTTTTAGGGAAGTGTCACATTCTGCAAAAGATATTGTGTAGGTATTGCTTATGAAAGTGACAGAAACCTCCAATTTTAGGAAGGAAGACCATATGTAATGAAGAGTGTGATTAGTGATCATCAGATCTGAACTTCGTGCACACCTATCCCACCTCCAGAAACGCCCAGCCTTTCAAGATTGTAAGATTCATTTTAGATGCTTTGATCATTTGAAGATTAATTAGACTAAGCAAAGAAATGATAGCACCACTTACTGGAAAACAACAGTGTTTCTTTTCTTCTAGCAAATAATTGGGTTGTAAATCTGATTGATGTTTAGCACAGGTTACTGCTGGACTTGTTCAGAGGAAGCTGTAAAGTTCCTAGAGATCAGCATGCAAGATCATTAAAACATCACTTGCTGCATCTCTCAAGTGAACAAACTCATTTCACTTCTGTGCTTATTGACTGAAGCACCAGAACTCAGCAGAATAAGATGTTCTGTCCTATTTTCAAATGTGATATATTAATTAGCTCAATAACAGATTTTAAAGGATTTTTAAATGTAGACCTTTAAAACAATGACTAAAGCTACTAAAGCAATAAAGAAAACAGTGAAAATTATGATTCCACTCATATTTCTCATGACATATCTGGAGTTTCTTAGTGGAAGTTTTGGCCACAAAAGACTTGACCTATAAACAGAAAGGCCACAAGACCATGATGGCTGAATTTTAAATAGATAGCTGGATATTCCTGCAGCTCCAAGAGGAAAGGCGCTGTGGAGTCTGAGGCAACTGCAAATTATTTGCAAATGATTGCTAATCACAGTCTAATGAAAAATGTGTTTAGTTCCATCCTCTCTGCAGAACACCAAGCAGATCTCCTCTCAAGAAAGATGCAAGCATAGCACGAGTTGCTAACAAACACTCAGTAAGTTATCTCCCACCACTGTGCAGCATCACACACACCCCCCTTTTTCCTCAGTATTTTCAGCCACAATTACTCAGGTCCTATGGACTGCCAATAGACATTAATCACACCATTAAAGATGGCTATTTCAGACAACACCCAGCTGAAGGAAGGGATAATTGTTTTAGCAAGGCAGTTCTGAGAAGACAGACGCATCTTGAGCTTACAGAATTATTAGGTTTGTGCAATCCTGACACTTGCCATCAATAAATAACTTATTTGGGGTTGCAGGAATACACTTTCCCAATCATAGTTGTTGCATATTTTGGTTTTTTAGGAATAAGATCTTTTCCCCTCCTTCCAATACAGGGATCACATTTTTGATCAAGTCTATGGTAGAAGCTTTTCTGCTACCCCTGCAGAACACAAATCAAGAAAGTCTTTGTGCAGAAGCTTATAATAATAAACAAACAGTCATAGCACATGCCTGCTCATGCATCCTCCAAAGTAGTTTGTTTCTAAGTGATCTTATTCAGTAATATACAGTGGAAATCTAGGAAAGACCAGATTACTATAGCATTAAGAAAACAATATTTACTCAGCCTGAAACAACCTATTGCATGTTTAAAACCAAATTACAAACCTAAAATACCTGATGAGTTCCCTACTGCTGATATTTTGGGACAGGCTTATGAACTGTGCCTGAAATTACTAAATTTAAACATACTTCTTACTTTAAATGCAAAGCACTCTCACAGCTGAAAAAACTGCACACTTATTCCCAAAGCTTTTTTTTTTAAACAGTAACTCTGTACAAAGTAATATTTACAGAAATGTCATGCAACTTCCATGTGTTTATGTACACAACATGCTTTCTGCAAGCCACCATCTTGCAATAACTCTCTACTATGGTTTATTCATGGACCAAAAGGATCTCAGCTTGATGTGTCATTATTTTTTTAATTTCAAAGACCATAATCACCAGTAAATAAAGCCTTTTCTAGAGTGTAAAGGAAAAAGAGAATAGGAGCAAGAATTTTTATACAATTCCTTCACTTTTTATCTCTGGTCTCATAAATTGTGTCATTGCTGAGTTGAAGGAAAATATTCCATATGCCTTTCTAAAACAGTGGACTGATGACAACTATGAGATTTAAAAACCTGTATCACAGTTGCTTACAATCTTTGCTGTAATAGTCTATATAAAATTTCCAGACATGAAAAGTCTAGTATTAGGAAAAACTCACAGAAAATAGGAGAGAGGGAATAATCAAAAAATCCCTGAAACCATTAACTGCTTCTGAAAATAATACTTTAGCACAAGACTGCCTTGAATGCACAGGGTAAAACTGAATATCTAGAAACAAAATAAATGCAAGCAGCACAAACTAGCACCAATCTGGATCTGATGCAACTGAAAGCTTCCCTTAGCTGTGTAAAAAGAGATGAGAAAAAGAATTATGTGAGACCTCTTTAACATGTTAAGGAGATGCTGTAACTTTGCATTCTTTTAACAGTGTTGGGAGATACACTAAATACCAACTGTGCAGACACAACATCCACCTCTCAAAAATGCAAAGTCTGTCAGTCTAAAGATAAAGCTTGATTCATTTATGAAGAGCATTACAGGATGGGAGGGCATGTGACAGAGAATTTGAATCAATGAGTCAGGCGATCCCAGATTCTGTGCAAGGCTTTGACATAATATGGGCAAGATGCAAGAAAAGTCACCTCTCCCTTCAAAAACTTGAAAAAAAAAAATTGAGCACAAAGTTTTACAAGAAAATGCCTGTAAAATTTCAGACTAAGTATCTGTGTTTCAAACAAAATTCACTGCCTGTACAGTTCAGGCTCTAATCTTTTTTCCAGCCATCAAGTTGTGTTAGAGTATAACTGAATTTTTTCCCCTGTAAGGATTTTGCTGTATTCTCTCAGCTGTTTATTAAGACTGCAAAAGGGAAAAGGTTGTTTGGACAATTTTAAATGGTTAGGATTGTCACATAAAAAAATGTGTTAAAGAGTGGTTTACCGTAAGTAAAAGCATGTCAAGTTCAACCATGATTATCATTAATTCCATTGGAACTTGTTTCTGCATAACTAAAAACAAGTGAGTGTATGAAGAAATAGGTTTGAATTTTAATAGCTACTTATGAGGGTGAAGCAATGAATTAATTTGATTTTGATTGAAAACAACAAAGATAAGGGCTTGATTTGAATTTAAGGGACAGTATCTATCCTTCCCTTTCACCCTAAGTCTTAACTTACCCATTCAGACCATCAGACAAACATTTAAAGTTTTCATTACAGAAGAGCACAGGGCCAAATAAATTGTTTATTTGTCCTTTTTTTATGGTAAAACAGGAACAACATGTGATGGGGAACAAGTCACTTTTAAGACATGCACAGAGAACACCTTTCCCCTACACCCTTAAGCTCTGCTGTCAGGGAGGTTGTGGTACATGCCCTGTGCTATGCTTCAAAGAGAGACACCAGATGTGAAAATCTGAACACCCTCCAGTCATATTTATAATTTAGGTGTCCTTTCATCAACAGTATTGTCCAAACTATCTATTCCACAGTGACTTTTATTACAATAAACTTTTAACCCTTGGGTTTGGGCTTCCTTTTGGACTTCCATCACACAGCAGCACGACACAGGCAGGAGCTAAGAATAAACAGCTGCATATTGAGCCACCCCAGGTGCCAACACAGGAGCAATGCCCCCTCAGGACTGCAGACTGTGCAGATCAGCTCTACTTTCAACTCACTTTCTTACAGGCTGCTTAATTTCTTTTGCAGAAGTCCACTAAATGCCTCTACAAAATATAAAGATGATTGTCTGAGTTTCACACAGTCACCTGCTTGTTTAAGATGGCTTTTGAAACCGTTCAAGCCCCATGATAAAAACCATTTTCAAGTTTCCAACCTGTTTTCTCACATTGTTCAAACAGTCTGCTGCAGGTATACACAGCCATTTCAAAGTTCTGAATTAAATTACTGAGGTGATCATTACCAAAAAGTAAAACCCTATCTTCTCAAAATAAATATTTAATGCAGCAGGGTAAGCTTTCCCAAAGCAGCAGCTTTGCTTACAAGTCCCAGTTCACTTGAACTGCAAGCAAAACTACTGAAGAGGTTTAAGAGGTTTTCCAAATTACATTCAGAGTTTTCTGGAAGGACTTAAAAAAAAACTGGAGAGAAAAAAAAGACATAGTAGAGAAACAGGAAAATTATTAGGATATTGTTAAATTATCCTTAGAATTGGAGTTAAGGCGATTTTTACACAAAGAGCTCAGTGGCAGAATTGCCTAATAGTGCTGGAGATAGATTTGTTTTCTGCCTCAGCAGCAGAAATATTTCCTTTCCCAGGCATTCCCTCAATAGAAACAGTAATATAATGGCAAA